CTTCCATGTCATGATTTGAAATCTGGTTGGTAGCCCTAAAAGAAAAAGCCTGGTACATATCGGAAACCCTTTTCTGGTCTCCATGGATGTCAGCATGAAGGCACACACACATACACATAGACTAAAAATGAACTTAAGACATGATTCCCTACCATTCTCCTGCAGTGACAGAGTATTGCTTTGCTTTTCCATCCTCCATCCCCCCTCCTTCCCTGAAACTGCACCCAGAGCCTTGTGCTTATGAACTGTAGCACCAAACTGTATCCCCAACCTCAGCTTTTGTTGCTAGACTGATATATATGTTCAACCCTAACCCCAGTTCTCATATTATTGCTGCTTTGTCCCAGATGCTAACATCTGGGTAAGAATTTGGGGGTTGGAAGGAGTTGAGAAGCAGAGAAAAAAGTACTGAACCTCGAGAAGTGGCCCCATGGCCCCGAGAGTGAGGAGACAGAGCTTAGGCTCTGTGTAGCTGGGAAATGGCATCTTTGGGGAAATTGGTGAGGGAAACCGTAGGCTTTTCTGACACTAAAACAAATAGTGTTGCTGTGATCAAGACAGCCTTGGCTTTTGGCCTTTTCTACATGTGTGAAACTGAGTTGTTTTAGAAGGCAAAATCAAAATCATTTGCCTCCAAGTATGTGACTGCCAGCCTACAGTAATTGTCTTTAAGGCAGGGATGCTTCATAAAACATGGCCTGGCCCCACTGGAGAGCCTTTGAACTGTCCTGAGACCAAGAATGACCTCAGCCCTTTCTTTCATCTCCTCATGGGGAGAGACAGACGCCACAGAAGTGAGCCATTTGTCACTCTACAACGGGCCCCCTCGAATTCTTCTCCAAATTGGAACCTACTTATCAAATTTATAATGAATATCTTACTTTGTATCTAGGCACTGCGATATGTTACTGATAGAATCCTGAGGGATACTGGAAAACATCAGAAGAGAATTAGAATACTAGAAATGCCATACTTGGCCAAGGGAGCTTTCTGCAGAGCTGTGTTTATAACACAAGTCTATCTGCTGCCTAAACATGAAGGCAGGTGATTGGAAGTCAGAAAAACACAAGTAGGTCTGTTCCCTGTCATCTGAGGGCAGCTGGGGCGAGAGAGGGAGGAGCGGGCCCTAGCCAAAGCCATTTATCCCATCGCAATCCATTATTTGTCTGTCTTATCTTCCAATGGCCAGGCACAACCTGACTTAGCGCAAAACATTCCTGACCTAAAATTCTCTCTGTTCTTAGGCCATCAAACTGCCATAATAACAGATGCTCTGGGCTCTGAATCCATCCAGTTTTAGAGTGTTAGGCAAAAAACATTCCTCCTCAGCAGGCCTTTTCTTTTGTTAAGCAGCCCTCACACCCATCCCCTGGTGTGTTTAAAACACCACTCACCACCAGCCTCCCCAGAAAAAAAGCAAAAATTAAATAAAAAGCCAAACACTATGATATGGACTAGTTATGACGCTGTGTGACTTTGTGAGTTTTCTCTCATATGTGTACACCTTTAATCCCAACACTCAGGAGGCTAAGGTGGGTCGGTCTTTGTGAGTTTTGCAAGTTCAAAGCCAGCCTAATCTACAAAATGAGCTTCCAACCAGCCAGGGATGCAGAGTGAGACCCCAACTTTTTGCTTGTTTGTTTGTGTTTGTTTTTCATGACAGGGTTTCTCTGTGGCCCTGGTTGTCCTGGAATTCGATTTGAGAGCGTGCTGGCCTAGAACTCACAGAGATCCACCCATCTAGGCCTCCTAAGTGCTGGGACCGAAGGCATAGCCACCACACTCAGCTGAGACCCAGTCTTAAAAATAAAAACAAATTATATATTTCATATGCTGAGACTCAGTCTTAAAAATAAAAGCAAACCATATATTTCATATGCATTTGTAGGACATTAAAGTAAAAAGAGGATGGTGAAAGAGAAGAAGGATTAAAAGAGAGGGACAAGATGGGGTAATGGGACACATCTGTCATTGAAGCAGGGAGGAGTGAATAAGAACAAAGTATAATGAATGATCCACATCCATATATGAAAATGTCGCAGTGAAATCTTTTCTTCACATGCTAACCAAAACTATGAGAGGGATGATAAGATGGGCTCAGCAGGTAAAGAAATACATACACACAAATAAAAGGGGGAGTATGAGGGAAAATAGAGGCAGAGAGCGCTAGGATTGTGTCAAATGCCTGTAAGTCCAGCGCTTGGGAGATGGAGTCAGAAGGATCGGGAGTTCAAGGATGTCCTCAGCCACATTTGCCTTTGTCTCTGACATTCTGACATTTTGAGACAGGTCTCATGTAACCCAAGGTGGCCTCTGACTTCCTATGTAGTTGAGACTGATCTTAAATTTCTGATCCTCCTGCCTCTACTTCCAAGAGTACTAGGATCACAACTGGGGACCAGCCACAAACTGGATAATTCATGCTGTGCATGGGATTAAACCCCTGGCTTCCTACAAGCCAGGTCAACAGGCTGAGGGACAGTCCCAGATCAACACAAGGGTGAGGCCCTCCTGGCATCCTGGACTTAGTGAAATGCTGTCTCAGAGAAACAAAACAACACAGAAAGTGTATTTCTTGTTCTGTCTACCTCTTCATTTTCTGTGGGAATCCTAAGTCATTACTGCATATTTGTTTATGAAATTTTATATTTTGATCTCGTAATGGGTTTATTTGTTTATTCATTGTAGTGCTAAGATTGGTTGGTCCCGAGGCCTCCACTCCAGGAAGCAAGCATTATAACATTAAACTGCATTTTCAATCCCAGGTTTTCATCTTTTTCTTTTATTCTTTTCAAAAAGTTTATAGCACATTAGTGTGGGGGGAGGGGCTTAAATCAATAATGCAGGTAGAAGACAAAGTAACTGCTTATATTTGGCTTTTTGCTCCAGCCTCTAATGACATTTAGCCTCCCCGCCTAGAGACTGGCTATTTTTGCAGCCTCTGGTTTTTGCTTGCGGTCATTTTCCTCAGGAGAGGGACACAACCCAAGCCACACCAACAAGTGAGTTCATAGGAAGAGGGAGGAAAGGCTGGAGTTGTGCTGACATTCTGTTTGTGAGCCAAGCATATAAGTAGGCTGGTGTTGGGGTGGGTGGGGGCTGGAGCCAACGGTCATTTGCTTATTTATTTATGTGGTGGGGGCTGAGCTCAGGACCTTGGACATTCTAAGTAAGATATCTGTGGCTGAGCTCCAAAGGTCTGTGATAAGCTGCAGGCTCCTGCCATTAACCGGAAGAGGCTTTTCCTTTGTTGTGCTTTTCCTGGTGGTAGAAAGTAACTGCCCTGCGTGCACTCCATCCCACATCCCAGAGCATCTCCACAGAGCTAGCCACATGCTCCGTGGACCCCGGGTAGGGTAGGAAGGCTTTAGTAGTAGCAATAGCTGCTGCCCTCGTGCCAGAATAGCAGTCTCTCCATGTGGAGACTGCAGTGATTATGGTGATTTATGCCACCACAGTGAAAATTAGCAATCTGGTGAGGTAACCAAGAATGAATTCATCTCTTCCCAGAGTTCCTTCCACCCAGATGAGCCACCAAATAAAACCAGCATATGGGCAATTAGGAGGGAGCCAGAGTTCAGGGGGCCCCACCTCCAAGCCAATAGTGATCCTAGGTCCCTAACAAGCATCCAATTACCACACGTTAGTGTGAGCCTGAGCAAGTCATAAACACCAACTCTGGTTTAGCCTTTCAAAGTCACTTGATCCGGGATATGACTGGCCATCTTGCCCCGTTTTGTTTCATTTTTTTTTTAATTGCAAATTGACTGAAGGGGGAAAGGGAGAAAGGAGGGAAGGAAACCCAGTATTATGTGGTTATTTCCCCGTGTATTGGCTTTTTTAGCGTCAGTTGAATTTATATAAGGAGGAAAGGGAGTCAATGGTTCAGCTGATAAAGCCACATCAAGTCAGGAAGACCTGACATCAATCCCCAGCCCTTACTTTAAAAATGAAGAAATAAAATTCAAAAGCCAGGCAGGAGTAAACGGGGACATGTAGCTGGGATCTCAGTCCTGAGGAAGCAGACAAAAGGACCCTGGAGTTCAATGGCCAGCCAGTCGAAAACTGACATTGACCTCATGTGTGTGCACACATGCACACATGCATATATACACAGCACACTTTTTTTTCTCTCTCCAGCTGTAGATGGCTGGAAAACACTCTACCTTCTTCAACACCTTCTTCAATGATGAAGGCGCTGGGGTCATTCTGGCTAGATTCCAGCTAAGATTTATTTATATATTAATACGTTCATTTATTTTACCATTCTGGGGATCAAACCCAGAACCTCACACATTCTTCCACTGAGCCGCACTCCCTTGTGACCCCTTCGGTTAACAGTTTCCAGTCTCTTCTGCCTTCCGCACTCTTGCCATGGTCTGTAGACCTCTTACCAGTCCCACTCTTGAACATGTCCTAAGCTTCTAGAACAACTGCAGGCTCTGGACTACTGAAAGTCCCTAGCCGTCATGCCCTTCTCTTCCAAAACTTGTCTAAGTCATCTCCCAGAAGTCCATCCCAAAGCCTTGAATGCCATAAACACACAAATGTTTTCCAAACTGAAAATACCCTGGCTTGCCCACAACCACATGGCTCATCACAAATAGTCTGTCACATGGTAGAAGACATACATTCAGAGGCTAAACTGTTAGGAAAACTATAGCTCTTTTTTTTTTTTATTGTGCTGACATTGTCACAAGGACATGGCTTGTTAGGAAAAAGTAGTGATTTGAGAACACTTAAACTGCAATTTAGAAAGCCTTTCCGCTATTTTGAGTCTTTGGCATGCCATACACTATAATTACATCCATGTGCCTGCATCATGCCATGTAAATAATACAAGCATTTTTTTTTTATATTCACATGGACTAGACGCCTTCCTGATTCTTCACAGGCCAGGAGAACACTGAAAAGATCAAGACAGACCTCAAACTGAGCATGCTTAGGCCCCAGTTGAGAACACAGTGAGATCTGGAATGTCTAGTTAAAAGAAATCAGAGGTGCTTGCTTTGGCAGCTCATATACTAAAATTGAAATGATACAGAGAAGATTAGCACAGCCCCTGCCCAAGGATGACACACAAACAAAAAAAAAACTACAGGGCACCACAGTCAGTATCTGAGCCACATGGATGGCATTTATAGTAGGATGAATGCAGTCAGCCTTGTTTGTGTGCTCATGGTAATTTCAATATTCATTCTGTAGGGCCCATGCTGCCCAAGCTGGCCCGGAACTCATTTGAGCCTGGTTTTCAGTGGTTGCCCTGCCTCAGTACCCCCCAGCTATGACTACAAATACACAGCACTGTGGCTCCTTGTTTATGGCCCCACCCCACACAGAGAGTTTGAAGCATTGGAAAAAGAAAGGGAATTGCTATTTACCAAGCCTCTATTTGGGCACAGGTCTGGCTACTTTAGGTATTGTTATCATAATCCTGGATCTGCAAGAAGATACAGGGCAGTGGAAAGTAGCAGGGACGTCTGGCCAGACCACAAGTGATGGAGTCTCTGTTTTGACTGCTTTTCAGAAGTAAATTTGTGCAGAGTTGTCTTAAATCCTAACTGTACATCTGCAAACTCCTAACAGCCATCTTGTCTCTGTTGAGAGGGCCAGGGATAGTCATCTACAGCTACCTGGAAAGGCCATCTGGATGTGTCCCTTGGGCTAGTGAGGTGTCTTAGTGGGTAAGTGCACCTGCCCCCAAGCCTGAGGACCTGAGTTAGATCTCCAGGACACACATGATGGAAGGTGAGAAATGACTCCTGGCATGTTCTCTCTCTCTCTCTCTCTCTCTCTCTCTTTCTCACACACACACACACACACACACACACACACACACACACTAAATAAATGTGATCAAAATTTAAACAAAACAACAAAGAAATTATGCCCTTGACCACTTAAATTTATTAGCACTCTTGTTCACAAGAAGATCTTTTTTCCCCCTTTAGAACACAGGGAAACATACTCTTTGGGCATGTTTCTGTTAACATAAAATAAAGCCAGCTGGAGCCAGGGAGATGACTCTGTATGTAAAGTACTTGCTGCCAAACAGGCCATCTGAGTTCGCTCTCCAAGGCCCACTGGGTAGAACTGACCCCCCAAAGTGGTCTTCTGACTTCTACATGGACACTGTGGCCAATAGAGGATGGCAGATCCCTTGGGATTTGAGTTACAGATGGTTGAGAGCTTCTATGTGGGTGTTGGGAATTGAACCTGGGTCCTTGAGAAGAGCAGCCAGTACTCTTAGACTTCTGAGCCAGCTCTCCAGATCCCCAAATACTATTTTTAATGTATTGGCTTACTATAGCTTTTTATATTTTTTCGTGTATTTTATGTGTATGTGTGACATGTATGTATGATGTGGGTGCATGCATGTGTCTGTGTTCATATGTGTGAGTGCAGGTATGCATATATGGAAGTAAAGGACAATCTGGAGTGCTGGTCCTCACCGCCCTCTTTGAGATAGCCCTTCTCATTTGCTGCTGTGTGTACCAGGCTCCATGACAGCCCAGGCCTCCCATTTCACTGAAGTACTGTGATTACAGGAAATATCACCTCATCAGGCTTTACATATGTAGTGAGATATTTACTTTGTCTCCTTCTGTGGCGTTGACCACGCCCATTGGGGGTGGAGCCAGGGGTGGAAGTGACCTGTGGAAGGAGGTCTGAGGAAGACTCTGGGGAAAGCTCTCTTGCTGGCAAGACTCATAGGAGATCATCGGGTGGAACTTGCTGGTATTCATCTGTCTAGGTTGTAAGCTATTTCTCCCTGAATAAACATCTATTCGGCCTATTTGTTTATCCTGATCCTTATTTAACCGCAATATACATAGGTTCTGGGGATTCAAATTGAGGTCCTTACCCTGGTGAAGCAAGTAATTTACCCATTGAGAAATCTCCTTTGCCCTTTATTTGTTTTTGTTGTTTTGTCTGTTGTTTTTTTAAGACCTCACTGTGGAGCCCCATCTGGCTTGGAACTTGCTATGAAAACCGTGGTAGCCTTGAACTTGCAGGTGATCCTCCTGCCTCTGCCTCCCAAGAGCTGGGATTATAGGCAAACACTGCCCTACCTGGATTAAATTTGTTACGTTTTGTTTGAGACAGGGTTTCTCTGTGTAGCCCTGGCTATCCTGGAACTTGCTCTTCTGTAGACCAGGCTAGCCTCACACTTGAAGATCCACCTGCCTCTGTCTCCTGGGTGCTGGGATTAAAGGCATGCCCCACCACTGCCTGGCCTGGCTTAAATTTTTTTGTTTGTTTGTTTCTCTGTGTAGCCATGGCTATCCCTGAACTCACTTTGTAGAGCAGGCTAACTTGGATTTCACAGAGATCCACCTGCATCAGCCTCCCAAATGCTGGGATAAAGGAGTGCCACACCACCGCCCAGCCTAAATTTCTTAATATAGAAACAAATCTCTTAGCCAGTTATGGAGGAGTACAGCTTTAATCCCAGCACTCTGGAGGCAAAGGTAGGAGGATCTGTGTGAGTTCAAGGCCAGCCTAGTCTACATACTGAGCTCCAGAAGAGAATTATACATAAAGACCCTATCTCAGAGGGGGAAAAAAAAAAGAAGAGAGAAGAAAAAAGAAAGAACTGAAAGGAAAAAAGTGAGAAAGAAAAAGAAACTTTTAAATTTTCTTCATTTTCCCTTCTCCATTATGGGTTTGAAACCTATGTCATGTATTGCAGAAGAATCTCATGTTCATTCAGGTTCTGGTATGTTTCCACTAGTGTCTTTTGTCAGTTCTGTTAATAACACATGGGGTAAGCTTACATCTTTTTTCATTTTTAATTTTCATCTCAAGCATATGAATGTTTTGCCTGCATGTACATCTATGCACCATGTTCATGCCTGGTGCCCGTGGATGGCATGGATCCCTGGAACTGGGGTTACAAATGGTTGTGAGCCACCACATATGGGTGCTGGCAATTGAACCTGAGTCCTCTGGGAAAGCAGCCAGTGCTCTTAACCAGCTCTCCAGCCCAGCTTGCATCTTTTATATATGGTGTGTGTGTGTGCGTGCGCGCGCGTGTGTGTGCGTGTTCATTCGTGCACACATGTGAGTACAGATGTCTACAGAGCACAGAAGAGGATGGAGTTACCAGCAGTTGTGAGCCACCCTCTGTGGGTGCTTGCATCTGAACTCGGGTCCCTTGCAAGAGCAGCCAGTGCTCTTAACCACTGAGTCACCTCTCCAGCCTCCATGCTAATTTTTTAGTTTGTTTACAAAACTAGGGATTAAACCCAGAACTACGTATTCTAGGCAAGCTCTCTCTACCACTTAGCTACTTCTGCAACCACACCAGTTCCTTGTTACATCCAAGAGAACAGGTGTAGAGAGGTGATGGGACTCCTAGTGGAGCTGCAAGCTCAAGGGGACGTCCCAGGCCCTGGGACTGCTCCCAAGATCTTACCTCTGAGTTTACCTAGGTGTGTCTTCCTGAGTCTGATTAACCTAATAACCATTCCCTCTACCTCCTTTACCCCTTCCATCCCCCTCGTCCCCATCCCCCTACCCCTGCCCACCTGCCACAGTTGATTGGTCAGAAAGGGCAACAGACCCAGGTTAGGCCAATCAGAGTTCTACTCCCTGATTATTTGCTTTTTAACTGGAATTGAAGGAAGAGACAAAGTCACGTCTGATACAGCTGTGAACCATGAGATACCAGAGCTACTGGAAGCCAAGATCTCTCTGGAGAGAAAGTTGGACAGGATGCTAGAGGATGTGGAGGAAGATTTGATATGTAGCTCAACGGCAGGGAACTTGCCCAGCATGCGCAAAGCCCTAGGTTCAAGCTCTCTCCAGCAAAAGAAAAAAAAAAAAAAAAAATAGGATGCCCTAGAAGTCCATTAGTCAGCTATCCCTGATTCTAGGAGCCCTAATGTACTTCCACTTTCTGTCCATAGATAAAACTATCTTTACACAACTAGTGAATGGCAGGGGAAAGAGGCCTGGCTTGGAGGGTGGGCCTTCTGAGCCCCTGCTCTATTTCCTTCAGGAAAACAAGATCATAGGCACAGATCTTCCTCTGACAACATGGAAATGAGCAGCACAAAATCACCAAACCCAGCCCCTTTGACTTCATGTGAGTCACACACAGATCAGCCTAAATCTGCTGCTGTCCTACTGATGTAGAATGCTTCAAGATGACTTGTGTGCCTTGGGGCATGAGTTCAGAAGGAAGTACTACATTCCCAGAGTGAGACAGTCAGCCTCAGGAAGACACACCCAGGCAATGTCCTGCGAACTCAGAGGGACGATAGGGCAAAACAGGACGAAGAAAATCAGAGCAAAGAGCAAAGGTAACAGGCCACCACGAGATTATATCCTTTGCTGTTGCAATTTCTCACGTGAGGTCTTGTCTTTATGGCAAGCCTGGAGGGACAGAAAGCAGGTACAATCTTGACTACAGTTAACAGCAGAGATAAAAGACACTTAGCACAGTGCCAGAGGCATGGCAGTTGCTCAGTAAATTTGTTCATTCATTCCATGGGCTCTTGATGAAATAAGAAAATATGGCTTCACGACATAAAGTGACTTATCTACTATAACAGATAAGATGAAGGGAAGTAGTTTGGAAAGAACAACACCCAAATTCCCAAATATTGTGTATAAATGTTTGCTTTCATTTAATTGGACTTTGTTTAAAAAAAAAAAAAGAAAGAAAATAAATAAATAAATAAATAAAAAGATAAGATGAAGATAGTGTACTTGCCCATCGTGTCCAGGACTGGGTTCAAACCCCAGCACAAACAATAAACAAACAAAAAACAAGTAAATAAATCATATATATATATATATATATCAAAAACTCAAGTGTGGCCAGGTGCTGGTGGCAAATGCCTTTAATCCAAACACTCAGGAGGCAGAGGCAGGAGGATCTCTTTGAGTTTGAGGCCAGCCTGGTCTACAGACTGAATTCCAGGACAGGCTCCAAAACAATACAGAGAAACCCTGTCTCAAAAACAAAACAAAACAAACAAAAAACTAAGTGTGGTATTATACTCCTATAATCTCAGATCTGGGGAGATGGAGACAGGAAGATCAGAAGTTTAAGGCTAGCCTTGACTACATGGAGAGTTCAATGCCAGCCCACTAGTC